CAGCTTCGGAATCGAAACCAGGACAGACGCCTTAACTAAGAACGCGAAACCCAGTCGAGCAACCCGTGGGGGCCAAGTGTCATTTGCCGTATAGCATTTGCAAAGTAACTATTTATCCGGACATTTGTCAACATTGGTGTTGCACATAGAAGGACAAACCGTGATTCTCACATCCCAAAATATTCTAGAATATGGATTTGTTTATTCACTAATTTCCTCCGATCCAAATCAGATAGACCAATTTGGTAAAAAATTAGCATATTTATTATATATGGGTTTGTTTATTCACTAATTTTCTCCAATCCAAATCAGATAGACCAGTTTGGTAAAAAATTAGGATATTTAGTAAATTTTTATTTAGCCAAGATCAATGTAGATATGTAAAAGCCACAGTATTTAGCAAATAACCAGAATTTATTCGGAGCATATGTCAAACCAATGATATCTTTTGACGTTGGAAAAAAAAGATATCATTTGAGAATTATTCTTGGAAATGCAAAAATCATACAATAAGGGAGCAAATCAATCATTGGATAGCAAACAAATCACATATGACAGATTCAAAGGAAATGAAACCCGATTAAACTGGCCATCACTTGTTTTAGAAGATGATTGCTAGAAAATTTACTGTGGATGGAAATTTCCAAATATACAATTTTGCAAAGAGCAAATTTAGAAACATTGGTGGAATTATACATAGGGAAAATTTGTCAGAAATCCAAGATCCGTACGTGAATGAAGAAAATGATGGAGAAGAAGGATTAGAAAACGTCATGGGTGATGAAGGACTGCATAATGTAGAAAATATTTTAGAATATTAGAAGCCAGAGAGAGAGAGAAGAGAGAGAGATCAAAATAATCAATCAATAAATTAGAATATTAGATAGTAAGTCATTTTGTTGGCCAAAATAAATAAAAAATAGGTCACAATCAAACAAGCAAAATGGGACGGTCAAGATAGAGAAAATCGTCCAAAACGTCCCTCACATTTTGTAAAGTGACTTTTTTCGTCATTCACTTTTAAAAGTGTAATTTTATATTCCTTACATATTCACATCGGTCAAATTTAGTCCCTAACTAGGTTTCCGATCATTTTTTGGTCGGAATCCATCACGTGCAAGGCACGTGATCATTTTTTAAGGGTAAATTTGTCAAATTATATTTTACATAATCTAATCTATAGTTCTCCACATTTTATAAAACAAATTTTTTCGTCCCTCACATTTTATAAAATGATTTTTTCATCTCTCACATTTCACAAAATAAATTTCTCCATCTCTCACATTTCAAAAAATGAATATTTTCATCCCTCACTAATTATGTGTGTGAGGGAAACCCTAATAAAAAAAAATGTGTGTGAATACATTTTGTTTAAACACATGTATATGTCTATTTGATTTTGCTTAATAATACGAATAGCATAAATATATGTATGTGTCTATTTGATTTCACTTAATAATACGAATACCATATATTATACATGATCATTTGATTTCATCTGGTATTAGCTAGTAAAAAATCTTGCATTCATTGTCAAGTTGGCCAAAAAAGCTATTTTCGGTCAAAATACAATAAGAATATGCAAATTAAGGATCTATTGGTAAATACTAGTCATAATCATACAAAAAGAGAAGATAGCCCACAAGTTGGGCCCAATTACATACATGTGCTTATGCTATTATTATTAAACAAAATCAAATAGACATATACATGTGTTTAAAAAAAATGTATTCACACACATAATTAGTGAGAAATGAAAAATTCATTTTTTGAAATGTGAGGGATGGAGAAATTCATTTTGTGAAATGTGAGGGATGAAAAAATTTATTTTATAAAATGTGGAGGACTATAGATTAGATTATGTAAAATATAATTTGACAAATTTACCCTTCAAAAATGATCACGTGCCTTGCACATGATGGATTCCGGCCAAAAAATGATCGGAAACCTAGTTAAGGACTAAATTTGACCGATGTGAATATGTAAGGGACATAAAATTACACTTTTAAAAGTGAGGGACGAAAAAAGTTATTTTACAAAATGTGAGGAACGTTTTGAACGATTTTTCCGTCAAGATAAGATGTCATGTCAAACCGCCGCACCAATCGCTTTAAAACACTGTCGTCGGATACCATACTAACTGCCAAGTCCTATAAGGAATTCAAGATGACTCAACCCACAACTAAAAACATCGGATACCTATCAAGATGAGTTAGAAAGCAATCAGCAATTTTGATACCCATCAAGAAAACACTGTAGCAGCAATAATTTAACTAACGAACAGAAGTCCTAACAACTGTAAAAGGAGGAATCTGCAACAGAGATAAAAGAGGCTTGGAGAGAGAAAATTTCACGTCCGTCTCCAAACTCAAGCATCTACTTTGAAGACAGAAGAACAAATTCCAGGCAATAATCCAAACCACTTTTGGATTATTAACTAGAAAATTATTTTCTTGTTCCTTCTTTTTGTTGGATCATAGTACATTAATCATCTAAACAAGATCGTAGATGAGGAACTTTATTCAAAGGGTAATTTAGGAAACAAATTTTAAGAAAAGATTAGAAAATTAATTAAAAACTAGAAAGAAAAACAAAAATAATATAAAAAAGTAATAAGAATTCTTTTGTAGAACACAAACTCTAATAAATAATAGAGTATTAAAATTATCAAAGTAGGAAGAACCAATCAAAACTTCTAATTGTGAAAGGTAGTGCTTGATATTCAAATCGTTTACACCCCTATCTTGGACTACAAAATTTGCATACTATCAAGCAAATTTATTAATTAATAAAACTGAAAATTTTATATTATCAAATAAATCACAATCAAAGAATAATGTTGAACTATCAAGAAAGTTATTCTCAATAAAAGTGGCAAGCAGGTCTTGTCCTTAAGGGACTTATTTTTTTTCTTAAGAAATAACTGTGAAAATCTTGGTGAATGGTTGCTAGTAGCAATTTGAATGACCCTCTTCCTTGCATTCTTCAGAACTCTTCCATTAGTATTTTGTTTTATATATATAAACTCTACTCCTGCTGGTTGTTCTTCAATCTTTTGTAGGGTACTCAAGGTATTCCTCAAGATCATAACTATTCAAATTACCAACTTCATTGTCATAATTGTGGTTAGCATATGGGATGTGAAGTAGAATACGATCTAGAAATCCTATTATTGTGTTCTCCAAAATATCAATATGCTCTCTTATCTTGCCTTTCATCTTAGTCAAGCACATGTTTTGGATGGTAGTGACATCCCTAAGCTCACCATCCTAGATCTCTTCTATGCAGTAATATTTTCCCTGGCTATTGTGGTCTTTCTCTAGTGGGCAGGTACTCTATTTTTCAACCCCCGCGTGAATGGTTCAGCGGTAGCACCTCCCACCGGTGACCAATAGGTCCCAAGTTCGAGTCTCTACTCTGCTGGATTCCTCCGCGCACATATCGTGCTTGGGTCGGGCTGGGGCGCCTGGCCGGGCCGCAGGGGATTAATCGAGCCTCGTAAGGGGGATGGTTCTCCCTTGAGTATGAGTAGCTAGCTTATTCTTAATGACTTCTTTGAACGGCCTCTCATTGATGTTGTTTAATGCCTTCACATCTTCAAATAGCTCTATACAATTAGTTCGCCTTAATGCCATATTTAGCCCAACCAAGTACTACTTAATTAGTACTTGTGCTTCATAGTCACTAATGCAAGGAAACTTAATGGTCAAGATTAAACTTAAAACTCTGATACCACAAAATGTCTTTCCCCAAATCCGCTATAAAAAAGGATATAACACGTCTCATTTTCAAGATTCCTTAAACATACAAGGTATATTGCATTAACTCTAAACCTTTAGAAAAATGAAGCAAATTTTGAACCTTGAAACTAATGATATAACATCCAAAGTAAACTTAAGAGAAGCATTTAAACGACTTGTTCTAGTGGCAAACCCTCTCGGGGCCCAACTATTTCTGTGGACCAATATGCATTACATATAACACATTTATCATTAAGTCATTTGTCAATTGTGCACAATCACAACAATCAGATATTGCCTGTAAATTAGAAATAACATCTTTTTTATATATTTAGTGAGTAATTAAAATCCAATCGATTTGTAATAGTTGAACAAACCAATCATCATTCTTTAACAATAGGCAAAACTGGGATGAGAGACCAAAATGGTAATGAAGCACATTGCCCCATTTTAAATGTAAAAACAAAAAATGATTGTTTACAAGGTATGAGGACTACTTTGGTGATTTTCCCTTGTGACCGTTATGTTTCTCCAATTTTCATTAAGAGTCCTACATTGGTTATATTTGTCGAGATGATGGATTCAAGTGCATTAGTATGTAACTAATAATGCCATGGCTTTGGATTTTAATTTTGTACTTGTGAATTAAAATCATTAAGGAGGATTGATTTATATAGTAATTGGATTAGTAACTGAAGAGTGATCATATATATTTTGTTTGGGACACACCCACAAACAAAAAATATATATATATATGGATATGTATTAAAGTAAATTATCACCTTGTGGGTATGTCCTCCAAAGTTCACATACTCCGATGGTTCAGTAGATAAATAGATATCTATATAATATGTAAAGTAAAAAACATGTTGTGTGGTGTTAACGCACAATGTTCACTTTTTAGGTTTTTTTTTTTTATACCCTCAATTAGGTTAACAAATCCTAAAATTTAATATGATTATCTAACAATTTTACCTACTTTTTTCACAGTTTAAAATCGCTCGTACTTTTAAAGTTATGCATAACAAATTTTTTTTAATCCACTTCACTTATAATTTCTTCCTATTTTGTTCACTTCTTATACATTTTTAGTATTACGCTCTTCATAAATTATGTTTTTTGTTTCCTGCTCAAATCTCTTTTCATTTATTACTATGAAAATTGTTTTTACAAGCATATATTTAGTTTGGTCGTCAAAAGTTTGCAAAACTAAAAGTTCAGCGGGTAATTGTGCAAATTGCCGAATTAACTTTACATGTTGCTTCTGTCCCCTTTCGTTGGGTAAGAAGATGAAGCGGAAAGCAAAGTCAGTGAAGAGCAGAAAGCAAAGAAGAGGAAAGAAAGCCATGGACCTACTTGCATTTAACACTCAAACCCATTTTCATTTTCCAATTTCTAAGGTAAAATCTCTGATTTCTTTTTCCCTATTACCCCCATTTCTTGTTCCTGAACTTGTATATGTCCGAGCGGAGTTGGGAAAATGGTCGTGTTTAACTTCTTTAAAGCTCTTTTTAGTTTTTCTAGTTGATCACTCTTTTTATTTTTCAATGAATTTTTTGATGATTTGTGTAGATTATTCCGCCTCGGAGGCAGAGGCAATGTAGTGCGAATGACTTGGTTCTTCTATCTCAATTTTCTAAAGAAGAATGCTTCTCTTCTAACATGAGGTGGAAAGGGCAACCTGTTCATGAAAGGTATCAATTGCACTTAATTATCAGTTTTGTATTTGAAGATTTACCATAGCTATTGCTGTTTAGAGCAGACCGTTGAGTGCAATTTAGTGGGATTTTGTTCAAATATTAGTAGTACATGATTAAATTGTTTTGCATTCCAACCCTCTCATTGGACTGCTTGTTGTCCTGAAGCTGTCAAATTTAATTGAAGCTCTGGCAGTTGGGGTTGGTGGGATTCGTGTGATGGTGTGATGGCATGTTGGGATAATGGGATGTGCATAAACCTGAGGCATTTTTGTATTTCTGGAGTTCGAGTATTAGATTATTATTGATTTCCAAGCTGAATTTAGTTTCTTTCTGGATTTATATTTTCTCGTTGCATGCCTGAGCTTGCCAACCTCTTTTGGTGGTTTAAGATTCTTCTTTCCTAATCAACATCCGTAACTTCAGTAGCCTGAGAATTTAGATGATGCAGATAGTAATTGCAATGCTAGGTCTAAATATTTCTTGTTCCAGGACAAAAATTAAACAACTTCATGCTCTTAGAGTTATATCTTCAGGTGCAAAATCTAGCTCTTCTTTTTTCTTATAATTTCGGCTTGAAAATTCAAAGGTTGCATTCTTGGACATATGTTTCCGATTCTTTTCTCCCTGTAGGTTTGGAAGATTCTCAAGCTTCTTCTTCCCAGTTTGAGGAATTTTCTGTAACGCCGTGTAAAACTGACAAAGCTAATGAATTGAAGGTGAGACTGTGATTTCAAAGTATGCATGTTACACTATGGTTTAGTATAGATGTTGTTGCACCAAAAGAATGGTCTTGTATGCCAACTGTTTGCAGAGGATAAATATGGAATTCAATGGAATTACAACAAGTTTGAAGTTCAAAATTGCCAAGAAGTATAGACTTTGAAAAATCTGTTGCATGCAGAGATGTGTTTTCTTTTTGTAGGAGGAATTGATACTGTAAAAATTTGTATACCCTTTTTCCAAGACAATGACCTTAATTTTGAGGAGAGTTATCAACTTATCAAGACATTGGTTGCAGATAAGCATGGTTGTAGAAGGCAAAAGAACTCAAGCAATTTTTGATGATGTGTTTTCTTCGATGGTTGCTGATGCTCAGCCAATTCCAGGGTTTCGAAGAGTCAAAGGAGGTGGGCTATTCCTGAAGTTATCTCAGCTGTATATTTTACAGAAATGTACTTTTAAGCTGTTGAAGTCATTCAAATGCCTTTTCTATTACTTCTGAGCTCCTTGTTTTTCCTTCTGGTGTATTTCATGACTCAATGTCCTCTAGGATATTTTTTTCCCCATATTTTATTGCTGACATGGCTCTTGATTTGTGATTTTCCTCTTTATTTGGTCGTCTGTTGCTGACAACTGGGGACTATCAGGAAAGACAACGAATGTAAGTTGTGCTTCAATTAAACTTCTCAACATTAATACATGGTAGAAGCATCATACATGCATGACTGTCTATGGTACCATCGGATAAAATAACTCTGTAAATTTGGATTTACATGTCCAAACATTCAACTTCATTGTTAAAATCAATTTAGTTTTGATTCATGGCCCTAGAGGTCCAGGTACGTAGTTATTAGCCAACAATGACATAGATGCAGAAATCAAGATCTCACCATTCCCATTTCCACTGTACAGACATGTAACAGATTGATGTGAAAACAATATTCTTGTCTTCATAAATTTTGCAAATAAAGTCAGATTCCTGCATGGGCATTTAGATTTTGTTTGAGCCAGTAAATACATCTGTTTCTGATGAAAATACCTAGGCTTGTGAATCGCATACTCTTTTCTACCCATTTGGATATAGGTTTTATCTCCATTTTTCGGGACTAAGCTTACAATTCCTGAGAATAAAAGTGGTTTTAGTTCTATCACGAAAAGCACAAGGACAGCTCATTTGAGAGGAAAACTCTCTCTCTCTCTCTCTCTCTCTCTCTCTCTCTCTCTGTGTGTGTTCTCGAGAAAGAATGTAAATGCTAAATTTTTTGAAAGATAGATAAATAGCTCTTTCAGGCTATATCTTTATTGCGTGAGTAAAAATATGTAAATATATTCTTTTTTCAGTTATGTCATAATTTCAGGAGTAGCTTTCAGATTAATTTTTCCAATTTTCTTGCAGATACCCAAAAACATTCTTTTGGAAATTCTTGGGCCATCAAAAGTTTACAAACAAGTCATTAAAAGAATAATAAGCTCTACCATCTCTGATTATGTGCAGAAGGTAGATCTAATAGGTTTCTTTCCTTCCAATCCATTCCTGACATGTTTTGCTTGGTGCTGGAGAAGACTGCCTGTTTGATTTTTTTCTTTTTTTAAGCTCTTTTATTAGCTTGTGCTTGGTATTCTTCTCTTGTTTAGTTCCATATTGCTCTTAGTTTGCTTTGCGAGGCTGTACAATTTGCATATTGCACTAGCAATAGCTTTCAGAGTATAACAATTGATTGTTCTACATTAAAGTTTGGTTTAGATTTAGGGAAGCTTAAATGGGATTAATCTTTTTCTTACTCTTCCCATCATGCCTTGGGGTTATCAAAAACATAGATAACTTTGATTGAGACATTTGATACCAGCTATGTTGAAAAACTGACTTCCAACTATTACTGTTTTACTATAATAGGATGATTATCTGGCATTTGGAACCCCAATTACCGTGTAAGGGATATTGGACAAGAATGAGCAATTAGCATCAATTAATGCATCCGAAGAATATAAGACTTGCTTTTCATAACTATAAAGTGCTGCTTCATGTAGTCTCTTTCAGTTTTATTGTTGTATTACACCTATTGATCTGGAAAGGTTTCATGACTCTCAAGAGCTAAGCTATTGAGTTGATGCTTACAGTTTTATTGCATTTTAACATTCTGAAATCAGAGGGTAACTTGTCAGTCTTTGAGGTATCAAGTGTTTACCATCCTTTCCACAAATCTCTATTTTAACCAAATTCAGTTTTCTACTTGCCTCTTATGCTAAGGGAGTCACTACCTCTTGTTAATCCCTTTTTCATTAGGATTATTCTTGAATCTATAGGATGCCACGATGTTAGCTACTTATATCCTTTCTAGAAGCATATCCAAGTGGTCTCTTGTACGCTTGAAGACCGAGAATTTGTTCTAGCAAGTTGGCTTACATCCAAAAAGCTGTTGCATGACAGAGATATTTTGTATGTGTTTTTCCATGACATAATTCAGATTTACCCTAAACATGTATCAGGTGGATCCTTTTGCCCTTTTCTTACTATCAATATTTACAATCTTACAATCATCATAACCTTTTCTTTGAAAATGGATATAGCATTATTTATGGCGAGGCATCATAACCTTTTCATCTTTTCTGTTCATCCTCTTCATCTGTTCATCTTTAAGTGACTAGAATATGAGCTAAAATTGTGTTATTCGTCAATGCGTACATATACTGCAGGAAGGTTTGTCAGTTGGTAAAGATTTGCGAGTGCAACAAAGTTTTGAAGATCTTGAAGCAACATTTGAACCTGGTGATCAGTTCAAATTTGAGGCCATCCTTCAGTGTCAAGATTGAAGTTTTACAAATAAAGCTTTTTGGTATTTTATTGTTGTTTAGAACTTAGCTTAGCTTGGTTATGGCATAGTGTTTTGTAAAGCATGATGTTAAAATTCGTTGCTTCCCAGTTCTATTTGGAAGTATGATTGTGGGAGATATAGTTCATATTTGATTCAACTTCTAATTGTGCCTTATCCCATGGGGTTTGCCCAACTAAAATTTGTCATTCCAAAGCTTCAAGAGAATGCTAGATTAGAACCCAAGTTCATTGGGGTGAGAAATATTTCTAATATCTGTACTCCAGCCATAATTTTGCTTCAGCCATTTGTACACCACAATGCCAAGGTGAGAAAATTTTCCATTAATTGTTATGGCCGTTTCATAAAGCGGGCGAGAACTTAAAAGAGTCCTATAATGAGAAAAGTAGTAGAAGAAAAAGATTAGTGTAAATGTGCCACAACCATGACATCCAACCCGCATAAAATTCCCTGTTTTCCTCTTCCAATCACTCACCTGACAAACTTTATGACTGAAAAATTGTTAGTCAATTAATACCTGAGATTTTTTTTTTCTTCTTGAGCAGAATTATTGAATGAAGCATTCGAAAGCATTAACAAAAAAACAAAATCAAACAGAGGTTATCAGTAGTGTCGAAATTTAGACAACTTTATGGCAATTCTTTAGCAACGCAACAGCATAAATGACATTGAGTATAACATCCTAAAAACAAAGGAGTAGACCATTCTTTCTTTAGAATAGGATCAAATTGGGACAAATTGTAACAATTCGTTTCAATTAGAATATGATCAATCTCAACGTAAGAAATTTGGTGACTCTTCTTGGACCAATGGCAATTGGGATAGCTGCTCTTTCGACATCACAAAATGATTCAAGCTCGAACATTTTGCTCAGGAGTCCGACAAGCACAAGCTTGAACTTGACCTTGACCTTGAGCGGATACATTCAAGTCGAGCTTGACCTTGAGCTTGAAGATGCTAATATTCAAGTTTTAACTTGGTTGGATTACACCAGTATACACAATTTCCTTTGAGAATTTCAAGCAAAAGCTCAAAAAGTGTGTGTTTACTGTCCTTCATTCCTGCCAAAGTGGAACAATTGATGAAAATAGTGCGGATAAAGCCCTGGTGACAAAAAAAGGCACCTTTACCATTACAAAGTTAGCATTTCCCCTCCTGTGCTCAAAATTAGAATGCCTTTCAAGTAGGGTGAATCCTCCTAGTCTTCTCAGTACTAGACATGGAGGACCAACCTTCCTTACTTCAGTGGGATGTGATTGATAATTATATACCATGTGATGTACCTTGACCATATAATACTGTTCTGTCCCCAGTGTTTTAAGGTGGCTAAAATTTCTTTAAAATTTCGTTTATGTGTATTTAGTGAGCAACTAGACATTCAAAAATCAAGCATGTACTAATAAACCCATTCCATTTTATATTATTGTTTCAAAATAAAATCAAATCTCACAGAAAAATATTGATCAATGAACTCATATGATGGTAAGACTCTAATCTTGACGGACCATCAAGCTTAAACTGGACATAGATGTAAGGGCGGCCTTAAAGAATACAAGAAAATGCGATGCAATGTTTCTTGTGAGAAGGCGTGGAGCAGCCTACTTCTCGTCATGTAACCGAAAAAAGAAGAACACATAGACAACACAATGGATAGAGAAGAAAGTGGTTACTTCAATGAAAGAATTCGACCACATCGGAGTTTCTCTCCAAGGCTATTGGCTAGATGTTTCGGTTGTCAATATATCAAGCTCTAGTGTAGCACTAAATCCAAATTCTTTTCCAGGAACAAACGATGATCTGAGTTCTTCAGCTGTTTGTATAGTGTTAATCTTGTTGCCCTTCACTGTTAGATTTTCCTGCAGGATTAACAGGAGTAAGAAGTTCATAGGAAAATTTTCATCTGTAACTGAATGAATTTCCAGAATTTACTTGCCTTCTTTGTGTAGTCAGCCAAGGTTGAGCTAACAATTTCCTGTATGACAAAGTTGGTAACACGTTCTTCACCGAGCATTTGAAGTAGAAAATCTTTTGGGACCTGCAAGTATTCCCCATAAAACAAAGAAGAAAAGTAGACAAGTAAAATGTGATGGAGATTATAATCTATTTTAAGTTTGTCTAAGCTACACGGTTAGTTCAACATAGAAGAGCAAAGAGACAAAGGATGGTCAGGTATGAGGACCTACAAAAACCATTAGGTGCTAATAATGAGGCTCGATTAAATTATATAAATAATTTTCCAACAAATGGCATAGTGTTTGAGAAAAAAAGTTCACATACGTATGGGAAAAGAAAAAAGACTCCTTGTATTCCACTTTTACCATAAAATTGGGCACACACATTTGCATCATTTTGGATTTCGACATTATTAAGTTTGTAACTGGAAGCAACAATAGAGCACCAAGGAATTACAAAGACTCACTATACACCAAACATTTTAACAAGATTTATATGAACTAAAACTAATAGACATCCAAAATGCCTCGCGTACCCTGATCCTGAGTAATGTTTGCTAGATCATGAGATTCTCATACAACCATATGAAAAGCATTTAGTTACAACATATATTAATCTGCATAGGAAGTACTTTCGAGTTTAGACTCATAAATTCCTCTCTTCACTATGTCCTCAAATATAGTAAAGATAGTATTTTCGTTTTTTTTATTTTCTCTGAACAACTGAAAAGCTCTCTGTTATTTGAAAAAGCTTTTATTTTTTATAATGGTATATCCCTGAATAACCCTTCTATTTCACTGTTAACTGAGGTTACTAACAAATTGATTCAATAAGAACTTTACACCCATGAATAGAATCAGCAAACACAAATTGTTGATGGCTTGCTGCCTAACTCAGGTCATAGCATATCTCCAACTCCAAGAAACTGGCATTGGCTTTAGTAACAGGTCTCTCAAATTACAATTTAGCACCCCAAGGTCCAGGAAACAGGAGTTAGCCAACCATTATAGATTGTTTCTGAAAATTATATGGAGATCTAGTGATATAAAACATTCTTAATCATATCCTAAAGTTTCACATTATGAAGCCTAAAGCTTCCCATATCACAATTTAGCGACTGAGAGCAGGAGCGAAGCATCTATTAACGTGTATTTCTCACATGAAATGGAAACCTAGTGAATGAATTATATCCTGTGTAGCTCGAATTATAATTAATGATTCATGACTTTTCAAGATGCATGAATCCTGATTGCAGGCTATGATATAATAAGTAAGAACCAGAACACAGGAAAAGGACATGTACAATTGTGTGAATGAAATAGAAACCTAGCAGCAAAAAGGGTAGTTTCTTTGTAGCTTATGACATCAAGACACTGTTTATGCCATTCAATCACATCGTAGCTCTTCAAATAGTATAAATACTTGCAAATGAATTCTGGGTTTTGAAAGGAAAATACATTCTGACAATCTCCACATTCTGCTGGAGCAACAGATTTAAAAGGAGGAGGTCCCACGGGATGTAAATTCATCATCGAAAAGCAGGACAGAAGACAAAACATTGCAGGTGAGAAACTTCTTCATAGAGTATAATGAAGTCATAGGGATATTTACCTTTGATGTTTTCCCTGAAAGGGCCACCATGCACATGCAAAATAGAAAGTTAGAACAATGTAAATAAAAGAGCCATAGGTTGAACAAGCAGAACTAATAGTTTTATTTTTGAGCATAAGAAGCTTAATAATTTAATGATTTTGGTGATATAGTAGAGAGTTTATAATATGAATCTAGTATCACAGTTCCATGGTTACATCCTTTTGCCAGAGCAGAGGTCTTCCTTTAGATTTAAATTGCTTTTCCATATTATCCATGATTTTACTAGTGCAGTTTCTAGATAATGTTCCAGCATTGCCTCAGTATGAACATGAAATCGACAATAGAAGCCAGAAGGACAACAATGTCAAAGTTGGACACATACGGATATCGGTCTGCAGCCCAAGGCAGCAGTGCCTCTTCTCTATTGCTTGTAAAATTTGGAAACAGAATCCGAAGCCAAAAAGACCCCTCCACTTTCCAGCCTTTTTTTACCCGAAAAAGCTAGAAGGAGTCAACACTTTCTGAATCCAAATCTAAAACTAGCTGCACAAAAGTAGGGCTGGCATATGGTCGGGTCAATCAGGTTTGAATGGGTTTGCAAATAAATGGGCATAGGCATAAAACTGTCCAAACCCTTCTTTTTAATGAGATAAAATAGGTAGAACTGGAATTTATGGCGGTCCATGGGTGTAAACTTGAATACATCATGTTCTTTTCCTCATTTTATTGTTCTTTAATTTTTTTTCAATATCTCTTCTTATTCTTTTATTTATTTATTTTTTTTTCTAGTCCTTAAGAAAGATAGCATGTGTAGAATCACTGCCAACGACTGGCCAGATTCCACAACAATTAATCAATTGCAGTGGTCTGCTAGCAGCAAGTGGTGGTGCAGTAGTTTAGAAACAAATATAAGAAGAAAAAGGAATGCGAATAATTATTTAATACAAAAATAAAATGAGGAAAAAAGTTATGGTCCTGATGGGTTCCTTGGGAAGCTCATACCAGCTCAATGTTTGAGTGAAACAAAGAATTAGCCAAATCCTTGAGAAACCGTGCCCAAACTACCCATGTCTAATGAAGGCAGGCTTGGGTGGGCAGCACATGGGCATGGGTTCATTTTGCTAGCCCTATTTAAGAACTGAGAACAGGCCCATAATGGATTTGAGATACCTCCACCTTCAATTGAGATACGCCACTACAACTAGAAGATAAAAGCACCGAGGTCAAATGGTGTAACAGAAACTTGGCCATCACCAGTCATGCGGCCTCAATAGACCCATGAAAACCATGCTTGCAAATTTACTGCCTAGGTGCTAAGGCCGGAAACCGATTATGACGCAAGCTGAAATCTCGATGTGTACCATGGCCTTTTAGATAACGCAAATTTAAAATGAGAAAAGCAAGAGCTATGAAATTGTGTATTTTTAAAGAGGGGATTGCACTTATTCTTTGCTACCACGTCACCCTATTGCTCTAAACAGCAGAACAAAAAAGAAAAAGGAGAAACAACAAACTGATTCATGTGGATATAACCAGTTCTGTGGTCACTGTAATGACTGTGGATTAAATTTTAGATCCTTCCTAGAATGTGCAAGCTTTTAATTCATGTGGTATTGGACTAAAATCGGACAGAAAATATAGAATATCAGAACACTCATGGTTCAATTTCTCGATCAACTATAATGAATAACTTTCTTTCAAATGCAATGACGTGATTACCTCCCTTTTGTCTGCGAAATCCAGGAACAGGTGGAGCTGCACGGGCCAAATTAGTTAAAACCTTCTCAAACACTAATCTGGTTTCCTCTCCTCCCAAATCGACTCTTACCTGGAAGAAAGACATTGAGGGACTAATTCAGCTTAAATACTAGGTTATGGTAAAATTGAAGCCGCATGACTAGTCCAGTCCTAACCTAACTAAGAAGACACAGTGGTAAATAAAATTGCTATTGCCAGACAAAAACAAGCAAACATTGCTGAAGCCTCAAACACTGAATTAGAAAATTGAATGGCACCCTAAGGAAGAGTAGCATCCTAAATAAGCATGCAGCAGTCGCTTCAACCCCCCCCCCCCTTTTGCTTCAACCATACAAAGCCACTCTTAGATCTCCTGTGCTTGCTCTATGCTGCCTCTCTCAAGTCATGCTACTCAAATTCTTAAACATGTATGGTGGTAGTTATTATCTTGGCAGCTCAGCAGTTAGCACTATTTAGGACCTCATATGAGCATGGCTCAGTTATACAATATCTAGTGAACTGAACTGATCGCAGAATAACAATTACCACCCCAAAATTTGAACTTGAAATCTTTACTCTATGAGCATGGAAGAGATAAAAGCACAATACTCAAAGGAAAAAGAATATTTTGAAAGTGGGACAGATGACTGAGCGCTTAAACATGCAACTGTCAAGGTAGAATTGTGATTATCAATCCATGGATAAGGAGAACAAATAACACGTGAATTACCAAAGTCTATACCACATAGGCAATGTACAAGAGCTGATATTCTTGCAAGCTTACTTGTAGCATAGCATCATCTCGAGACTCAACAACAATCTTCGCATTTTTAACATGTACTGCATTTTCCTCTGGATCTGCTATCGATGCCTCCAAACCTGATATAGTAACTACAACATATCAAGGAGAGATCAAAGACAGTCTGCAAAAGCAAGTCATAACTTTCAGATAAGTCTTTTCAGTAAAGCAATTAGCACCTGAACGAACAGCAGATACTGATTTGGCTAAATGTCGCAGATATTGCTTAGAGAAGCTATGGGTACTTGATTCCCTAGAACCATCAAAATACCTGTTTAATAATACTACTGCTCAGGCCCTCCAAGAAGCAAGAAATCCTACGACACCAAACAAGTGCAATGTGCCAATTGAAATGACTCAAGAGTTTAAGCTTCATTCTATGACTTAAAGCAGAATTAAAACATCAATAACATGTATATTATGCATTAACATGAGAGCTAGGTGAATATATTTCTTTAGCTCATGAGCATAAACAGAGAAGTACCCTTCTTCAATCAACATCATCCCTAGGAAAAACACAAAAGGAAAAAAAAGAGTCGATCAGCAGTTAACTAGTTACAAAAAGTGTGAATTCTCTAGTTTTTTAGTGCTCGGGGTATTTTCAACTTAGCAGGATCTTTCCGAAGCTTTTAAGTGTCAACCAGCAAACTCCAACTCATCAGTACACGTTGACTTTGGTGCGAAAGCACAAGCAAGCAAGAGTTTCCAGGACTATGTTTATCAACTCAAGACTATGTTTATCAGGCATTTCAGCAGCTTTAGTTCTATCTTCTATGTAGTTTCCCAACAGCCTTCAGGCTTAACCAACACATATCAACCCACAGGTCTCTTCCTAGCAATGAATACAACGTGCTAGCTACAGATAATAGAGTATAATTTAGTTAGACAACCAGAAATATTCTTCCACAAGCCATATATTTCAGATTCAATGTTTATCAAGCATTTCGGCAGCTCTAGTTCTATGTAGTTTCACAACAGCCTTCAGGTTTAACCAAGATGTATCAACCCGCAGGTTTCTTACTAGCAATGAATACGATGTGCTAGCTAAAGATATTATAGTATAATTTGGTTAGGTATCCTGAGATATTCTTCCACAAGCCATCCATTCATAAAGAAGAGAAAAAGAAAAAAAATTTATTGCTTCTAAAGGGTCTTAACTTCTTAAACTGGTCAATACTCAGTATTCAGGCTTCAAAAAACAAAAGAACAGTTCGATGGTGGCAAAAGTACCTCAACCTCCTCGAGTGATAGGCAAGAAGCATACTATTTTGTCCTGCTATTACATTAATAAATGCCAAGAGAATAAATGCAGGAATGCAAGAGCCTGTTAATTTCTGCAACAGACAAGAGTATTTTCTGTCCAATTAGATAGGTAATTCTTAGTTGAACTCTGACACAGTAACTAAAATTTGAACAATTTAAAATAAATCTAAAATTCAGAGGATACAGCTAATATTATCATTGCTCCTTGTTCAAGAAATGAATGAAAATGGAAATGTCTGCCATACTTTTGCTTTCAAAATTTGCCATGAAAACTAGGTGCATGATTACATCCTCCTGTCGCTACATACATGATACTTAATTTATTGAAAGAATAAGCAGCCAAAAAAACCTATAATGTCTTGGTCCTTGCCAAGTTGGCAGGCAGGTAATGTCAAACCTAATCCACTAGCATGGGATACACAATTGAATCTCGGTTGCTAGCATAAATGCCCCCTAAAATCAGAATATGCGTCCATTTGTCAAACTTGGCTAATAAAAAAATATGCCATCACAAAAATAGTTCATCATCTCTTCAGAAGTAGTTCACCAAATTGATTCAGTAGCTCCTTATAATCCTAGCTATGTAATCCCAGCACCTCACTCTTGGGACCTGTTTTACAGTAATAATGTTCTATATTTATGCAACAAATCCATTGTAAATTATAGCCAACCAAAGTCCTTTTTTGTTCAATATTTCAAGATAGCCATGGAATAGGAACTTGGTTAAACTCCAGACGAGATGTGTCAGATTAGTAATTGGACAAGATATCCATTTAACTGTTCAGGTCATGAAAAACTAAAAGATCATCCTTCATTTAAGGGGGGTTCATTTTGTGATCCCAAAAGGAAATGACTCTACATCAAAGGAGACAGGGAGTACACCTTTTTGACCCCAAAAGCCCAAGCAACAACAAAGTATTGTCAATAAAACAAGCACTACTAAGTATTGTTAATTAAGCCAAATATGCATCCAATAACAGGAAAATTGTTAGAGCCTAAATTTATACAAACCTTCTGGTCAAGGTATATTTACCTGTGGCATCTATTAATGGTTGTTGTGTTGCCAAACTTGGTTAATGATGCATGATGGTATATCTGTACACAATGATGGAGACTCTGAAATTCTACAAACTGATGATAGAAAAACATTACAACTATGATACAGCAAGAAAAACTGCTGAAACTAGTAAGCACTGATTTATTTGTGTATGTACACTCCATGAATAACCAAGCTGCCTTAACATAAAACTAAAGAAGTATTATTAACATTTTGCAGAAAGCTTCAAGTATTCTAGCACATATGATGCCCTTAAAAATTGTGAAGAGTTATCAGGTCTTTGTAAAAATGATAAATAATAAAATTGCGGAGCTCTCAGCTGCAGCATTTTAATGGTGTTTAGAGTTCAAGATTTCTTTTATTCAATCTGCAAGTTGACCTTGTAACCTCTAACAATCTTTCGATATAAATATAATCCTGATAATTTCTAAGGCTTCTTTGGTACTTTTGCACAGACATTTGGTTATTTTTCAACTAAGAACACAAAATCTCAGAAAGCATAGCATCAAAAACTTTTAACAAGATATTTTTTTACACCTTTCACATCTAGGGACAGCTTATTTTGAACTACTTAATATAATTTTGCCTTTTTCTCCAAGCTGTAAGCAGTTTCAACATGTTCTCAACAGCCTTTAGCTTCTGTTTACCCAGAAAAGGCAAATCCAAAGTGGCAACAGCGAGATGCTTTTTGAAACAGCTTCTCAGATTTTCAAAACTTCTAAACAAAAACATGCTTCCATTTTTTTTCATTAGATATTCAACAACGAGCATTAAAAAGAGAAAAAAAAACCAAAAAAAAATCTTGACCGCAATCCTGAATAACTAACTAAAAAAGAGAACATCTCTGAAAAAGCTTTGAATTCAAGAGCATATCCTACGAAATACTTCTACCACTATTGCTAACATTTTGTTTATCTTTACTTTCTAGACTTTCTTAATCTCGTAAGGTCTTTCATTTTGCATAAAACAGAGTAGACTTGATTTCATTCCTCAAATACCTATAACAAAATAAAGCAAGGAATCATGGAATCTATTTAGTGAAAATTTTATCATTTATAAGTAAAATGAGCCCTAAATTACCACAATTAGTAAGATACTACATTCATCAGCAAATGTCGTACCTAAAGTATTTCTTTGCAATCATGAAACATCTAAAGCAAAGCACTAATTAAATATCCAAACAAGGTTCTAATTTTTCCACCTTGAATTGACTCAAAATTACTTTTATTAGCATCTGCAAAGGTTTTTATTGTTCATTTCTTAAGTCATTTAATTACAAGTAGCCTTTTTTCACAACATTTTGCTCCACAATTATAACATACAATTACCAAAATTAGCGAGATAACACATTCATTAAGAAATTTTGTACCCACAAACATTTAGGCAAGCAAATTAATTACAACATCCAAACAAGGTACTAATTTTTCCATCTTGAATTGGCTCAAAATTATTCTCATTAGTAGCTCAATTTGCGACCTTAATCAATTAGAATTAGTCTTTTTCTTAATTTTTTTTTAGTCAATGACGACAATAATCTTCTGTATTTCAATTAACAGCACTCAAAATTCAAAGAACAAAAACAGGAAAAAAAAAGAAAAAAAAAAGCTTTAGCTTTTTCAAGTAGAATTATGTTCATGAATAATCGCTATGCATTTACAAATTTGCAGAACTACTGATAAAGAAAACTGTGTTGCTTACGTCAGAGCGCTTGAGAAGCTTCAGCGAAGGTGACGTCAACGTGAATATGGCCATTGTCGCTCTGGCCATGCTTGTCTTATCAGTCGCAGCAATCTCCCAGAAATTCTGCGTTGTCTTGAATTTCTGTGTATTTTTTGGGGGAAAACGAAAAGAAAAGGAACAAATCTGTTATCTGTCCTTCAACTTTTTGAGTAAAACACATTTAGCCCCCGAATTTTTATGTTTAATGTTTTTAGCGAATTTATGACACGTTTAATAAAACTAAAGTTTGAAAACTAAAATCTAAAATCTGAATCAATTAATTTATTAAATTTTTAAGTACTAAATTTGATATATTTAAGTATATATCACTTTTAGATGATAAGTGAATACTTATCATTTATTTTTGGAATAAATTTTATCTAAAAAATCCAATGCTACTTCATTAATTAATTTAAATGTTCTACTTTTGGCTATCAATCACATATGAACATATTAAGACCTGAGCTCCTTAAATTTAAGTGCTGAATTAAGGGTGCGTTTGATAAAACTTAAAGTTTGAAAACTGAAATCTGAAATTTAAAATCTGAAATATAAATTCATTGAGTTATTGAGGTGTTGTTTGGTAAAAAGAGATCGGAATTAAGGATTGAAATGATTTCAATTCTTATTGTTTGGGTTACATGTATCCGATTCAGAATCTTAGAGTGAATCATTAAAATTTGGAAGTTCTCAATCGGTCAATCCCCAACAAATTAGAGGGATTTTGGTAGATTTCCAAATTTGACTCAATTTGACTATAAAACTTCAAAAAAGAAAAGAAAGAAAACATATTGTTTTCATCACTCTATCACGTCGGCCCAACCTTCATAGCAGCATCTTACCATTATATTTCCTCTTTCATGTTTTCTCTCTCATTCCATCTTCCACACCAAGCTTCAATCGTCATCATTTTCTTTCTTTTTTCTCTATGCACTCTCTCCTCCAATCTTCCATAGCAGCAGTCCCACCTCATCTGGTTGTCTCTACTTTCTTGTCAATCTCTCTCACTTTCCTTTTTCTTCTCTTTTCGCTCTCTTCCTCTTGCCTCCAATACTCCATGGCAGCTGCTCCTCTCTATTTGGTTCTTTCCCTCTCTCTTCTTTTTTTCCTTTTTGTGCAAGCCTTTCTCTCATCTATTGTCAGTCGCTTTCCCATACTCCACAAATTGCAAGGTTGATTGGTGATGGTTAAGTGTTGATTTAAGAGAATATTGTGAGGACTCGTAAAAACTATTATTTTATGCCTAATTTATGGCTTAATAAACTATTTAATTGGATTTTTGCCACGAGGAATATTTTCTAGCCTTATTAGACCTAAATACATGGAAATATAACTTCGTTATATTTTTAAAGTGACTCGTTTTGAAAATTAATTTCCTGGAGTACGTTTAATAAAAATAGTGAATAGTACTTGGAGATTTTATCCGCGTAGTAGCACAATAAGCTTGGAATATTGGAGACTTGTACTATGGTCCTAAAATAGGTAATCTTATGAATAAATACACAAGTGATAGTTAGTAGTACAATCGTTATAAGAATTTCTCGGAAGTTTCGCGTTATAGCGTTAAAATTGACGGTACGCGTTTTCACACGCGCGACTTTATTTGAGGGACTTTAGACCCTTATTTCGGGACAATTAAGAGTGAATAATATTTACATGAATATATATGCATTGGAGGTTTAGTGCATTAGTGAACCAAACGCGCGAGAAAATCGAGCCGTAATCGCACCAAACGGCCCCTAATGAGAGTTGACTTTTGGGTGAATTTCCACCACTTATTTCACCTTCTCTTGGAAGCTAAAGGAAATCAGATTTCTCTCCATCTTCTCACTCCTCATAGCCGACCAAACACCCTCCTCTCTCTAACTCCATTACTTCAAAATTTCTGCTCACTAATCTCACTCAAAACCACCCCAAATCATCTCCAAATTCAACCAAACTTGCACCACACCTAGCTTGACACTTGAGGAGCATTTTGAGCTGCAAACAAGGGCTGGAAATCACGGTTTTTTTGGGGTAATAGAGGGCCGAAAATTCTGCTGAACATCAACCCAAAGTAAGTGATGATCCACCCTTGGAAACTTGAAGTTTGGAAGCTATCTTACCTTGTTAAGTTCATGCATGCATTTGGTTAGCTTGATATGGTTGTGTAATGTTCTAGTGGGCTCTTTGTATTCCCACACTTGGGTTGTTGTTGCTGATTTGAGGATCAATGTTGGATTTAATGGTAGTTTAATGGTTATAATGATGGATTTATGGAGTGTTATTGTTGGAAATTCAAGTAGAGGTCATGACCAGAAATTTGCTGAATCTGCCCCTGTTTTGTTCGGCCATGATAAGGCCCATTTTTGGTGATTTATTGGCATGATCCTGATGTGTATATGTTATATTATATGTGTAGAAAGTTTCGTTGGAAAACATTAACGTTTGGATGGGCAAATGAATTTATTCGTGAACTAGGCATGCTGGAAAATTATTTTCGGGTAAACCTGTCCAGTGGTCGTAATTTGGCCATAACTCTGTCCTCGGGTGTCGAAATCAAGTGCCGTTGGTGGCGTTTGAAACTAGACATTCCTAGCTTTAATTTGAGATAAAATTCACTTTCTGATTCTTTGTGAGTGATCCGAACCAAATGTTTTAAGATAGCTGTCCTGTCTCTCGGATTTGCTGGAATGGCTTGTAGAGGCAGCAACTTGAGGCTCAATTTTGAGCTGGTTGCTTGCCGAATTTCAGAACATTTCCTTCTGTGAACTTTTAGTCCCATGAATGTATTTTCTAACGCCATAAACCATGCCTCATTCCGAGTTAAATTGATTGAGTTGTGACTAAAACAAGAGGACTGCCCTGTTTTGGAAAAACGTAGTATTTGGACTGATTTGGGGCAAAACTTGGGAATGATTTTATTAATTGAAGTTCTTGATGCTCATCACTTACCAAAGGTATCATGGATGTATCTTAGACCTTTATTTCACAAATGAACCATGGTTGGATAGCTTTCTTGATTAAACGATTTGAATTGGGAAATGAAGTCAAAAGACAGGTTGCTTTAGAAATTTTCCTGAACATTGGATGATTAATTAACTATCTTTCCGAAGGTATTTTTCCCTTAAATTTGATAGAGAGATGCCTTTCATATAGGAGTAACATATTGCAAAATTTTATACCAATCCAAGTTCGTTTTGACTCTTAGCTAAGGTTCCAATTTTGAAAACTCAAATCTGGAAATTGTTCACCAGACTTGAATTTTCCTAACTTTGAGCTACCGTATCTCGGTGCTCGAAACTCCAATTTTCAATCCGTTTATTCTGCCCTAAACCTTACTTACACCTCTAATTGAGTTATAAATTCCAAGGGCTAGTTTGCAACGAGTGAATTTTTCCGAATTTCCAAAGTTAGCGAAAAACCAACCCCTGCTTAATTCTGAATGTTCTGGAACAGCAATTTCATGCCCATTTTTGAATACCTTCCACTTAGATTCATGGAAAAGTGTCTTCTAAGAACTTGTAGTACTTTCTAATAGGTTTCCAACGGTACCAAGTTTTATAATTTTGGACCTACTGAGTGCAAGATCTGATTTTTTCTAAATTTGACGCGCAAAGCTGGAAATTGCTGATTTCTTAGAAAATGAAAAATTGAAAACTTGTTACTCCTTCTTGATGATAATTGATCGCTTTAAACTTGATTTCATGAAGGAAATCAGTTTTTCTTGTGTTAATAAAACCTCACTTTTGAACCTTTATTTTGAGTGGCTAAGGTTCTTGGTTTGAGGTATTGACTAGTCCAAATGAGCGTAACTCCTTTCTTGATTAATACGTGATTGTGAGTGAAAAATACTTGTTAATTGCTTCAGGTGCTCAAGCGAGTCTTGAAAAGAATCCCGGAGGGGACAACTAAAGATTTTCTCGCTCAATTACTTTTGAATTGGTGAGTGTCAAGTGCATGACTTGTCGTGTTTACTTGATTTACCTGCTTATATACGTGAATATCACTTGATGAGACGAGTGTGTACTTTATCGCACTCGCTCTCCTTTACTTGCACTTTACTTGTATTAACTTGGTTTTCAAAGTCGATTGAGTGAATCTCGTCGATTAAAATATACCCGTTTTCGTGTGCGTGTCGTGTTGCCATGCATGTCGTGTATGTTGTGCGTGTCTTGTTGTCGGGTGGAGTGAACCTCCTCGACTTATGGGGACGCCCAATTCTCTTAACCAATCTTGCAACTCGAGCCGGCATGGGCTTGGTTGAGAAGCTTGATAAACCAAGAGAGTAACAAAACACAACTTGATCTTTTGAGATCTTGTTCGGCATACTCGTGGAGTATTGCCCTTTTCGTGCGTGTTCAAAAATCAAAACTTGATCTCCTGAGATCTCGTGTGGCATACTCGACGAGTATCGCCTTTTTTTTCGTGCGTGTTTGGTTTCGGATCCGAGAGGGTGGAACGTCACAGTTGGTATCAGAGCTTAGGCTTTAGATCTTTGTAGTGTATCCTAGGCTTAAAAGTTTAGGATACCGGACTGTGGGACTGGTTTGAAAGTTAAGTGACTACTTGTGAAAAAAAAAAAATCAGAGCAATTTCGCGTGGCCTCTGCACGGAGTGAGTTTGGGCCAAGACGTGATATGGTCCCAATTATGTGAATATGTATAAAAGACTAAGTACTCTTCTTGTGCGTAAGTTGTGAACTATGAAAGTGGTAAGTGTAAAACTTTTATCATGCTATTTGAGGTAGATAGATATGTACGTCAGGTAGGGATCTTAAACTTTGTTAATTTGCACTTGGGAGCGTACGGCCTGAGTTGTAAATTCTCTTAGTTCTGGATTCTTGTACTTGAGTACTAAATACTTTTTCTGAGAGAATACCTGTGACTTTGAAAGGGATATAGTCTCGTATATTATACTGTGAATAAAAATCATAAGTGGTTTTGAGATAAATTCTGATGGCAAAGGTCAGAGCCCGGAGGATTCTTGTATTGGACTTGAGATCTCCATTATGGGAAATGAACGAGAAAAAAAAAAACTAGACCCTTTTGACTGATATAGTTAGAATTGTCAGGGGTGATGCTAAGTGTTGAGGCCATTGTATTTTGCATGACTGTATGGCCTACTTTTGGGGCACTTGTTTGACTTCAGTCTTCTGT